TCTTAGTGTTAATCTCTGCTTATCTGGGTGATGATTGCTAGTGAGGAGATGTTCTGGTCTTCTGTTTCCTTGTTATAGTCTCTTTTGAATAGTGTGTAGATGTTGTGTTTTTCTATGTGCTTGTTGATGGCTGCCTTGTCTGAATACCAAGCTTCCAGGAATTCCCTCACATTTTTGGATTTAGCTTGGTCTAAGATGCTGACAGTTTCCCAGGGAATTCCTGGAAGCTTGGTATTCAGACAAGGCAGCCATCAACAGACACAAAGAGATAAACAACAACATCTACACACTATTCAAAAGAGACAATAAAAAGGAAACAAAAGACCAGAACATCTCCTCACTAGCAATCATCACCCAGATAAGCAGAGATTAACACCAAGATTATCACTAGACATACAATCAACAGTAAACAATACTCTAATCAAGGAACTACCAGAGGAGGGAAAATAAAACAAAACAAAACCCACACTCCCACCAACACAGGCAGGGCATGCCACTGTATATAAACAGAGCAAACCCCATTCCATTCCATTCCAGCACTGAAGATGTTACCTAGCCAGGTAACGAAATGCTTGCAAGAAAACAGCCACAGACTCCACAAAAATAAATCCTGCTCTGCAGACATATTCTTATTTCCACAAGCATTAATTTCATACTGAAATGGCAATTCCACTCCATAAAGCAAGCCTGCAGCAATTCAACCTTTGCTCAATTTCTATCCATATATCTATGTATCTTAATTATGAAGACCAGTAGCTATGTCTGTAGTCTCTTTTTTTTTCCCAACAAAGAAGGTGTCTGTAGAGTACTAGATTTTGGGCAACAACTACGTTTTGTAAAAATAAGAGTAATTTGAACCTGCATCACCTATGGAACACCTTGCATAGTCTTCATAGTATCCTCCTTAATTCACTGTGAGTTATTCTATTGCTTGACATTTATTATGCCTAGTTTAAACATAAACCCCCTTGTCTAGACTACTCTTGGTGGTACAATCTCTTACAGATTTATAAGCAATAAAAACACAAAGGGAAAGGCAGAGTTGGGAAATAATTGTTAGAAAAGAGACAAGATTTGATACAAGTCTATAGTCGTGTGAAAAAGAAAGTATACCCTCTTTGAGTTCTACGGTTTTACGTATCAGGACATAATAAAAATCATCTGGTCCTT